TGTTTTTTTTTTTTTTTAGTACTAGGTATTGAACTCTGCTTTTGCTGCATCTTTGAGCTACATCCCAAAACCTTTCTTTTGAGACAGGGTCTCACCATGTAGTCCAGGTTTGGCCTTGAACTTGTAGCAATTCCCTGCCTCAGCCTCCTAAGTGCTGGGATTACAGGCATATGCCACCACTTGCTCTAAAATTTTAACGTCAAAAGAGACTGTTTGCAGTTTGTACTATTTAATTACTTATAAAACTGTTATAAGAAGAAAAATGCCTCAATTGTTTTAATCTTAAGAGGCCCTGCCACACCTTTCCACCAGATGTAACTAATTAGAAAAGTTTGGTGACGTTTCACTGCCGTGGCTTTAAAACCAGCATTGGCGCATTCAACACAACTCGTTCAAATATGGCTTCCTAAACCCCTTTACTCATCAAGTTGGGGCTCTGGGATCCTCAGATCTGCCTATAACCCAGCAAACAAGGATAGGCCTAGGTAGACTTACTGTAGCACTGACAGGACACAAAGCAGGTGTGGACTTGAGCTGCCATCAAAGGCTGTCTAGCAACACCTCTTGCCAAGCCTCTAACAGGATGAGAGCAGGGCCAACAATCACTGTCAAGCCGCTCCAGGCCCCAAAGGGCCGCTCACATTTTCATGTCAGGATCGAATTAACAGGGGCGGAGTGGGGGGATTTATCTTAGTGGTTCTACCTCTTGCCTTGCAAGTGAAGGATCCCGAGTTCAATCCCAGGTACCCCCCCCCACAAGAGCCAAAGAGCAAATTCCTGGTAGCCCGTCCAACACCTGGTCCACCTGGAAGGAAGCCAGCAAGGTGAGGCCCGCAGGATGAACCACGTGTGTGAAATTAGGAACCCCTAAGAGACTCATGCTCAAGGGCTTAACACCTCCCAGTAGCACCACTGTTGTGTCGGGCTTAGACGTAAGAGACCCTTGAAAGCTGAAAAATTGTGGGACGTGCTTCGTTCTGACTTCTGCGATTAGGTGGGAAAGGGTTCATTCTGGGAGCGGGGGTGCTATGCACGACTCAAGAGAACTGCAGAAAACAAGGGAGTCCAGTCGTTGCCCAAGCAACAGGGCCCCCGTGGGGGGAGGACAGCTAAATTCTTTCTCCATGGAGACCGTGCAAGCTGAACAACACAACCAATATTAGACGCATCCCGAAGGTCAGCCAAGGTCCAGAGGTCAGCCAGACTAGATTGACGACACTGCCTTCATCTCTGAGACACGTCCCACCCCGAGACCTGGGCCTAGAATTTCAGGGCTGAGGAATAGGAGGGGTTGAAGGCAGGCAGTGACCTCACGAGTCCCTGTGCCCCGGGCCCCAACCTATGACGCCCAAGAAGAAGCGTGGGCAAAGTGATGGACGCCGAGCAGCGGGCGAGGGTGCTGAGCCGCAGCTGTCAGAGCGCTCACAGTACCTGCAGCGCGAATACGCGCTGCTCTCGGAGCAGCTGGAGGCCTGCGAAGACCGCGTAGATCGAGTGCTAGGGGAAAACGCCTTCTTGGACCGCGAAGCGCAGCGCTTGCGCGAGGAGAACCGACTTTACACCAGCTATGTGCGCGCGCACGCGCAGCGCTGTGCCCAAGTCATCGTGGGGCTGGAAGAGCAGAACCGCTTCGACCTGGCCCAGATCCACGGGCAGAGAGCCGAGCTTGCTTCACTGTACCGCGGGCGCGCGGATGGGGTGCGCGCGCAGCTGCTGGGCACTGAAGCGCGCTTAACGCAGATGGTGCGGCAGGTGCAGGAGCTGCAGCCCTACAAGGCCAGTGCGCGCTCGCTCCTGGACCGGGGCGGGACTGA